GGGCGGCGGGTGCGCCGGCCCCCCCCCCCCCCCCCCCCCCCCCCCCCCCCCCCCCCCCCCACACACACACACACACACACACACACACACACACACACACACACACACACACACACACGCACACACACACACACTCAGATTACCTGTATGAAGTTTTTTCACTGATGGTGGCAGAAAAACTACAATTGCTAACAAACATCTGGTGCTGGGGCTGGGCCGTACTCCTGGGGGGGTTGATGAAAGCAGTTTATAATACTTCTGTTTCCTGGTCCCTGATGTCAGCACTGGAGCCTGACTGCATTTCTCAAGGTAGCGTGATGCTGTCTATGGAGTTCTATATTTGCAGCATGATGACGCCCTTGGAAGAAATGACCTTGCGCATGAATATTTTCTTAAATTGGATCTGATCACGGCATTTACTTTTTTTCCTCATTTAAAACATTCTTGTAAGAATTTGCTTTTGTAAAAGCTTCTTTAAGACCTGCAGTTCACTTTTTTTCCCTACTTTATCGTGCCACATCTATGAATATGAATGTATGTTATTGGGATTTTATGTGACTAAGTAATATAAAGGAGCACATTTGTGAAGTGGAGATTAGTTGGCAAATGTGTTTCCATCTCCACTTTCTCAAAAAAGCCAAAATCCAAAACAAACGAGTGTAATTTTTTTTTCTTTCTTTTTTTTTTTTTGCCAAATTGAAAAAATTATTTCGAACTTTACCATTTCTATTAACCGTGCCAGGATTTGATCTCATGATCTTCTTGCTGCAAGGGAACAGTGGAACAAACTGTGCCACCATGTACCTCTGTATTCTACCCCCTTTACTCTAATAAGTAAAGGGGGTAGAATACAGGGGGTGTGGGGTGGAATCCAAGTAGAATCCAAGTAACAAAAGGAGTCTAACTGTGTCATATTTAATCTCGGTATGAAGCTGTGACGGTCTTACAGGTTTTTTAGAGGACATTAGTGAGCCAGAGCTACAGTGGAAGGATTTGGATTTGGACCGTGATAAAATGCTCCAGTCAAAGTACAGATGTAAATCTGATTTAGAATGATAATTTTAAAAACCTGATGTTTTCAAATGCTCTCCATGCAGTCATGTGGATGTCTAAAGACAAGGCTTTTTGTCTTTAGATATTCAAACCCGGGCATGGCGCCCCCCAAAGGACTTGCAGCTTTAACTGATTTGAGAACTGGTTCTACAAAGTTCTGACTCAGGAAAATGAATACAAAGGTCCACCTCACGTTTCAGATATTCAATAATTAAACATGTGGAAAACGTGTATCTTTCCCCTGCCGTGGAGCATGAACCTGTCAGTGCAGCACCTTGCGTCTTTGCCCATTATCCGTAGGAGATGCCAAGTGTGCATTTTACTTCCCTTCACGGTCTGCTTTTTATTGGTTTTTCACATGAGATTGAATAAGACTGAAACATTGAAGTGACGGTCACGTGACACCACACAAAGTAGTTCCTGGGTTTTGAGCTGTCCATGCTTGATTTGACTTGTTTTGGCGCTGAATCCAAACCGACGTCATGAGCGCCGCGTTTGGCTAAGCGGATTCCTATTTCAGGCGTGCGCCACCGTGTGTTTCTGTGTGGCGGTCTGATGCCACTGGTACTGCCCGTACTACTGTCCTCTCATGGCTTGTGCTTGACTCAGCAGATAAATCCTGACCTCAGCTGCTCTGCGCTGCAGACAATAGAAGAGGGGGGGGAGTTCCTAAAGATAGTGCAGGTGTGTAAACAGCAGGTGTTTTCACCGTGTTAGCACACAGGTCCATGTGCAACATCTCAGCACGGCTCATGATTGATGTCCGGGAAACACAGAAAGGCTTTAGTGCTGAGACTTCACTTTAGATGCATGTGGTTTATCAGTGCCAGGCTGCCTGAATAAATGTGTGTGGTGCTGGGATTATGTATGGAGAGAGGGGAGGAGAAAACAAAGCCTGTGCGCTTCTCTTCTGTAACTCCCAACGTGCAGAAAATGTGATACTGCACAACAACGTTCTTGCAAGCTTGCAGTCTTTGATGAAGTGCCTGCTTTAATAGATAAATAATTTGGACGTGGTTTCCATTTATAGTGATCTGATGTCGTTTGTTGTTGTGGCTTTCAGGTGTAGTATTTTTAAGGCCTTATTATTTTTATGCTTTATATTAATCTGTTACACATATGCTTCACCTCGTGGGCTGGGTTTTGTCACTTAGCGGAGCACATAGTTATATCCAGAAAGATTCAGACCTGCTCCTGCAGTGGCTCATCCGTCTTGGCCCACCCCGGGTTCATGTCAGCAAAACAGTCATTTTTAATTCCCAGATAAAACCTGCCATTGGAGACTATCTGGGAATCACCTTTGCTGAATTGCAGAAATGTTTGCAGTGGCTTTGCAAGCATTTTGGGCCACAGCTGACACTTCCTCTCTCCGCCCAGTCATCGGCGTGGTTTTACATCTCAACTTCCTAGCACCGAGAAGCGATAATATCTTTTAGTTAGCCGTGCCAACTGTGCCGCACGGTGACTGGAAATTGTCTGGATAACGGTGGGGGCGCTGAAACCTGACTCCGTGTTATTAAAGCCATTTTAGTGACCAGGAAGGAGAAGTCAGCATTTTTGAAGAAACCCTTGGAGGATACAAAACCCTCCCTCATTCCCTTTCAGCCTTTTTCTTAACCCACACCTGAGGCCCGCCCTGGCAAGAAAAAAAAAAAAAAAACTGTGCCTACTTGCAAATTAAGAAAACACTGCTTGCAAAAATACTCCAAACGCATAAGTCATCAAGAAGCCGAGTGCTGCGTGAGGAGAAGGGGGACTGCGCTGACGGCTATAAGGGCACCGGGTCACCAACTAGTCCTTCTGTTTTCCACTCACTTCCCTGCTTTACTCAAACACTCTTCTCATCTTCACCAGTCGTCCCGAGTCAAACATCTAAAACGTGTTCACACGTTGTGACTTTGCGTTACAACGTCAAACCTCAACGATATCGAGCTCTTGACTGCGTCATCCTTGACAGCCGGGTCTTGTTAGGTTTGCAACTTTCCCTTTTATTTCAAAATAATGCGCCGCTTTCACATAAGATGTGTCGACGCATTTATCTGTCTGTGTGATTTCATTGTGTTTTACTGTTTGTATGTTGCAACTCGGAGACGGGAGTTCCTGCTGATAAATAAAGCTGTATCCTTTCTCATGCTGAAAATCTTTTCTTTCCGTCACTTTACACAACCAACCACTGGAAGAAGAAACCACTGCTTCTTGTGTTTATTGCGTCATTTAAAAGCTTCTTTTGACACATTGTGTTGCACAGCCAGCCTCCCTGGCAAAGAGAATAAAAGGAAGCTAAGGTAACAGGCAGCACATGAAGCCAGGTGCAGACATCTTTAAACTTTTCTCCACATTTCCCCCTCCTTTTTATCTCTGTTACAGGCTCTACTCCCTCATACATGACCTTTAAGCAGAACCATGCCAGGGGATGTTGTCAGTGGATGTGTTCACCTGGTACGGTGGTGTAGGGTTAACAATCCGGGGTGCGACTCCCCCACACTCAGGTGTGGGTGGTGATTATGAGCTGTGTGCAACCGGGAGCGGGAGCAGCTGTGGTCCACCAGTGGCTCCAACACAGCTGTCACAATGACAAAAGAGCAGAAACTGGGGATAGAATAGAGGTGTGTGTGTGTGTGTGTTATCCTATCCGTGGAACTGTGCTAATTGCTGAAACAGCAATAAGAAAATGTCTCTGGGAGAGGCGCTGAGCGTCTCAATATATCCGCACGGTTTGCTAAGTTTGTGACTGCTTTCTTTATGGGCCTGCTTGTGAATGATAAGGTCATGCCGACATTAATTAATCTTGTTATTGTCGGGGTGAGCTGCATTGTTTGATAGCCTCCATTTGTGCATTTTTCCAAAGGTTTACGGTGGCTTCTGTGCGCTTTCCGGTGCGGTTTTGAAACTCTACGCAGAAAGGTAATAACAGGAAGAGTGTTGTGTTTGTGCGTGTGTAGGATTCTGAAGTTTCTAGTGGCGAAGAGGAAGTTCAAGGAGATGCTGCGTCCATATGACGTGAAGGACGTCATAGAGCAGTACTCTGCAGGACACCTGGACATGCTGGGCCGCATCAAGAGCTTGCAAATGAGGTACCTTAATCTTTATATCACAAACACTCATCTGCTTCTTTACGATCTGTAAAAAAACCAAGACATTAATCTCATGGTACGTTTTCTGCCATCGTAAATAATGAGCATAATATATTTCCTATCTTTGCATGCCGGGATTTAATAAATCCTTTGTTTTTCCACAAACTCGTAAAATAGGTCAAAGCAACTGCAGATGAAGTATAACACTTTAATTGTTACATTATATGTGTGTATTTAGCAAAAACAAACTCAGAACGCAGAAGTTTACTACTTGCAGTGCAAATGTATTCATACCCCAAAGCCTTTTAACATTTTGTGACGTTACAAACTTCATTGCATTTCATTGGGATTTGCTAATAAAACATTGTAATATTTAGCCATTTTGTTTCTTATTCTGTATAATTGCAGCACGTTTTATCATTCATATTTTGATAAAGTTAGGAGTTGGGATTAAATTGGTCCGATGGTCAAGATTGCTGGCTATTTTTTTCTTGGCTATGACAGAAAAGGCACTAAAAAATATTTACATTATGCTGAGAACATTGTAGGTAGTAGCCAATTGTAGTCCATAAGTTTGGACTTTAGAAATTGTAACTTGGGTGAGAACTAAAGCGTACGATAAAATTGTTTTTAAAAAAGCGCAATATGAAATGTTTAATCGTCATGGTACTTACTGGACCCTGTTTCCTCTGTGTAATAGGGTGGATCAGATAATTGGGCGAGGAGGTGTTCAGCCTGATAAAAAAGTGCGACCCGAAAAAGGAGAGAAGACGCCTCCAGAACTGGACCCACTGGACGAGCTCAGCATGATGGGCCGTGTGGTGAAAGTGGAGAAACAGGTACCAGAAGACAACGATATTTGAAGAGCGCAGCTGCGTTTCCATTACAAATGTTTGCAAAGCCTTGTCGATTTTCCGATAATGTAGAAAAAAACCACCATTAATTTGGAATTGTGGTGTTTCCACTAAGTAAGAAATGCAATTAAAATCACACATGAATAAGACCGTTCACACGATGAGTTATTAAAAACATGCAGCTCCGTCGTCCTCCTACCACTTTCTGTCGTCTTCCACGTCTTTTATGCCAGTCATCACATCCAGTTGTTGATCGCGTGACTTGTGTGATGCGAGAAAGGTTCTTCCATTTAAATTTTGTGAATTTTGAGATAGTCAATAATTTACCTGATCCTAGCTCAAAAACCTTTTAGCAAAAAACTAGTTTTATTTGTCTTTGGCATGTTTCCATTAAGCAAAGTTGTTTTTTTCCCCCCCGTAATTCCAATTTGTGCAGTTATATGGACGAATGGAAACAGCTAACGAAGCTGTGTGAAACTAACCAGATGGAAAGGTTATAAAGCAGCTGACATCTCACAGTCCAGTGTTGGTGTGTCTCTCTTTAGGTACAGTCTATAGAAAACAAGTTGGACCTCATGCTCAACTTCTACTCCCAGTGCTTGAAGAAAGGCTCCTCTCACATCACGCTGTCCTCCCTCCTGGACCCCGACCTGACGTCTGACTACCACAGCCCCACGGACCACAGAGACCTTTTCCCGTCCGCTAACACACTGAACATCTCCCAGTCTGACAGCGGGAACTTGGAATGACAATGGGACACAGACCCTAACCCCATACAGTATGTTCTCCTTAGGCTGAGTCCTCTCATCCCAAACGTCCCCTTTAATTCAGATCCGTTATGATTGCCCCTCCCATCTCAAGCCTCCGTCCTCAGCCCTTTATCCTGGAGTGAATGTTTCTGGAGCTGGTCAGACATTGGCCACTAGGTGGCTCCAGCTGACGAGGAGCCTCAGCCAAAGCTGCTCACCGCACACGCCTCTCAACTCACTGGATGAGGAAAGTACTTGACTACTGAAGCAGTCTCACCCACTCACATCAGGCTGTATATCTAAACCTACTTTAAAACTTTAATTGTAGACAGACTGTGGAAGGAAGTTTTGCAGATATCTGGAGGAATCGTCTCTTTCCTCTTTTATTGTCCGGTTTTATTTTTCCTTGGGCGCTTCAATCGACTGAAAGTCCCTTTCCGACATTAGGGTGACAACACAGTTTTTCATGCTGTGGTGAATGTAGCTGTTCTTTTGTTCAAGAGAAACTGCAATGCAAGAACAAGAGCCATCGACACATGAAGGAAAAACACAGTTGGACCTGGATCAGCTGCATCGGCACAAGGTCCCACCCAGCGAGGGAAGTTCTGTTTTCCAGATCTGACGTTAATCACCCAAACGTTTCACATGAGGACAGAGTGAAAATAATGTGCTGGATTGACTGTGGATTTGGACTGTACCTTCGTGTAAATTGTTGTTTGTTTTCACTTGTATTTCCTCTTTAGGAAGTCTGGTCTCCAACAAGCCCAACAGCAAAAACAAAAAGAAAAAAAAAAGACACATGTTGTTTCCAGCTCAGCTGGCATTGTATTGAGGATTATGTAGGATTTAATAGAGCCGTGGTGGTCCGTTGTAATTCTCAAATCTCTCTTTTGCAATTTTTCCAGACTACTGTGCGAACTACGACCGTTTTAGTGACATACATTTTCACTTATAAAACAAAACCTCCAGAAGTCTCTGTCTTGCAGCCCGTAATCCGGCCATATTTATTCATCAGACTTGCTTTTAAAGGGATAGTCCAGAATTTTTGAAGAGAAGTTCTGTAAAAACATAATGAAAGGTCACTATATCTGCTGGATCCCGGTTCTCTTGGTGTCTTTGTTTTGTTTAAATCCAGATCTTTGGACCCAGGGGATAAATGTCTAATTTAGCAAATGTACATACTAACTGGCAAAATTTATATCTCTTGTATATTTAAGGTAAACAAAATAATTTGCTTTCTTAGATAATATTATATAAGTTCTGGCTTATTATATTAATTTTAGTCCAAACAACTATAAAGACTACAAACATAATCATGTTTTTCAATAAATTCAGGGTTGAACATCGCCAACAACCAACATTTAAAGTCATGACTAATCATAAATGTATTTCAAGCTTCTTTGGTTTAAATTTGTTAAATTAAATAATTGACTTTAATGAAACTTTTGATGTCAGTTCTATTTATAGGAAATCACGACAGGTTCTGTCTGGCATTCATCTAAACTTTTCAAGCAAAACAAGCTGGCAACGTCACATTCTTGTGAGGTGAAGACTCCAGCAACACTTGAACTACTAGGAAACAACTTCATTTGAAAGCCAACACATTTCAGCTTGTGGCCTTCATCAGGGTCACGTTCCTTCCATGTTTTGAAATTTTTTTTCCCAAGAGTTATTTTTGACTGGATCTAAAGACCAGCAAGGATACTTTGAAGTGACTTGAAGAAAAACTCTCTTTGAGTCAGAGGTCACAAATCTAGTGATGCGTTTGTGTGCTGCAACTCCAAACTGCTCTGATGCGTTAAAAGTTGGAGCCTTTAAAATGCTAGAAGACAACTTTGGTTTCAACCCCCTTTCAAAATAGCATTAGCTTCAGTCTCTGGGTCCTGCAAGTCTGTATTTACCCTAAACGAAGACAGCAAGAAAATGAGTTATCTCTTTTAAGATATTAACTCATTGTTAATTGTTACAGAACTTCAATTAAAAGAACTCTGACAACTTAGATCCTCAATATGAATTTAGACGGACTATGCTGAACGCAGTTTTCTGCACTGCTTTTCATCACTCATATCTGGCCTCAAGTCAGGTAATACCTCACAACCTGTGTCACAAGGGTGGCACAGTTCCTGCATCAGATGTCACATGCACTTAAAGATAGCACAAGCACAGTTCTGAACAATGAATGATGCTCAAGAAATCCAGGTCTATTGCATGACTTTCAGATTATCATTAGTGCACGTTCCATTAAGACGCTTCAGAACAAAAGGGTATGCAGTTGATCATTAAAATGTTACATGCAGACAAACACGAACAACGAAAGCAATTCCTTTATTGGCACTTCATAAACGGAACGCCATTTTGTTGTTTAATTTAGCCTCTGGCTATTTCCATGTATTTAATTTGACAAAACATGTAAAAAAAAAAAAAAAAATCTGTTTTTTTTTAAAGTTTTGTGGTTGCTGACGTAAATTTAGCATTTGTGTTATTTTTTTAGACATAAACTACACAGCTGATCTGGCCCACAGACTCATTGATCTTGAACATGGATGTCGTGTTCAGTGTATGTTCATATCCTGCCTGCAACAGCTAAAAAAAAATCCCTTCTTTGTTTTTGTCCAGTGAGAAATTCTTCCGTCCCCAGTCACGTCCAGCTGACTCAGGTGCTCCACTTTTCCATTTAAGTGAGACATTTAAACAGTGAATGTACTTCATTGCTCGGCCTGTTCAGATCTATTTCTGCTCCAATGGCTCTTGACGCTAGAAGTCGCTTTAGGCACCATCCAAGTTTTCTGCTTATTTCCATGGAACATACTTGGATAGCTTTATTTCTAGGGACTGAATTACTGCAGAGATCCCTGTTTATTAGAGGCAGTGTTACCATGAATGACGCTGTTATTCATGATAATTAATGGAAGATCACATTATTGCATGTTGTTCCTAATGTGGCCCCCGTATTAGAAAAAACACACACACACACACACACACACAAATGTGTTCCAGGAAGAAGATAAAAACAAATAACCTGTGCCTTGTTTCTCCTTATTCTGTGAAAGGTGTGGTGCGCCTTTCTATCTCCTACTTAAAACAATAAAAAAAAAAAAAGCTTGGAAGAAGTTTGTTTTGTAGAAATTACACAAAAGAATGCTTTTTTTTTTTTACTTTTTTTGCGTAACATTTAACGAAAGACAAATTTACTTATAAGAATTTAATCTTTTACAACTACTGCAATTTTCTGAGAATATTACTGTATCGTCGGCAAATCATCGCACCTCCATAGAAACCCATTCAGTATCTTAACACCCTTTAGATGTGGAAGCTGGAGGCATGGACATTTTGTGTCAACACAGGAATCTCTGCAAGCATGTGTGCTGTCACAAGCATGTCACATTAGATAAGATTGGCTTCCACACAACTACCTCTGAGGCCGCTACGGGGCGCTAGTTTAGAAACCTGATTAGGAGAAACAGTTAGTGACTGTCCGACTGACTGAATTCTATGCATGAACCAATCTGCACGTTCTGTTATCTGTTAGTGACGTCCTACCATCCGTCCATCTTTTCACTGACTTGCTGCCATTTGACATTCCACCGCATTACTTTTAGCTGCTTTCCTACTGTAGGTTTTGGAGCTGCTGTTAGAATAAAAGCACGAACTGAACGAGCAATAAGCAAAACGCAAACTCAACACAAAGTCTTCCAAGTCCAAATGGTGGGGCAGTTGACTGAATAAAATGCAACGTTGGTTTGTTTTCTAATCTAACCTATATTTGATCTTTTAAAGAGGTACAAAAAAAATGTGTTTCTGCTGAGAAGAAATTTTTAGAAAACTAACTTATTAATTTATTTGTTTCAGTAAAGCTCTTGGACTGTTTGTTGCTCTGGGTCTCTTCTTTTTTTCACATTATGACACATTCAACTATGGTTTAATACACAACAACAAACTACTTTTGAAAGTTTTACAGTGAGTTGCTACTGTACCTTCCAGAGTTTTCTACACATTCTCACATAACAGGCAAGTGTTAACATGTGGATGTTAATAAATATTAATTTTATTGGATTTTCTAACACAAATTATTATGAGGAAAATTCTTTTAATTGCTCAACTCAATCTCTCAATCTAAATAAAACATATGACCTACAGCTGTTTTTCACAATTCCAGTTAAGGCACAGAAAGGGTTTTCATACTTTTTCAAGACTCTATAGTCTCAATAGCATATAGTAAAATTACCAAAACCAGAAATCGAAGATGTAGACAGTATTTTTGGACCAAGCAACAATTAATTCCGTAGCTGGTCAAAATTTCAGATTCGTCTTCCTTTTCCAGTTCTTACAGCGTCATTTTTCCCACGCCGTAGATGTGGAAGAGCAAAGTCACATTTCGTTTGACAGGATCCACAATTAAATAGGCAAAGGTCTGCTCCTCCTCCCGTGTTCCAGGAAAACACTGGCCAGACTCATCCTGAAGAACAAAAACACAGAAAATGCTTTTTGCTGTTTTCTTGAGTGGCTCCAGGTGTAGTGATATTCAGTGTAGAGGTTTCTTTTGGTTTTCAGATCCAAATCTTATGTGTACTGCTCACTTACATAGGCACAGACTTTGAGGACGGTGGACACCACACTGATCTTCTTTGTTTCTGGGTCCTTTTGCACACTACAAAGTAAATGACTGATTAGTAGTGAAATAAAGGAAAGGATCATAAAGACGCCCTAACAACAGAAAAACCTTGAGTAAAAAATAAATTTGGGTTTCACAATATTATGGGTTTAACACAAAGTTAAAACAAGTGTATAGCATGATCCCTTTAGTGTGGTTCCTACACAATTGATATTTATAGGTGTGGAAAAATGTAAGAAATAAGATGCATTTCTTTTAATTTGTTAACTATTTATTTATCAAAAAGTCAGTCCACCCATATGTCTATTATTTTCCAATCACCAATCCACATATCTGTTTGCAGAATCCCCACCCTTCCTTCCATTCATCTGGTCACCTATTGTTCAATTCTTTTTTCTTTCCTTTCTTCTTCCTTCCCTCTTCACAGTTCAGTTTTTGCAGCCACCATATTAAGCCTCAATCCTGGCATGTAGAGATACAAGGCAGGATTTTGCATTCTTAAAATGAGGCTGAAAAGTGACAAAGCAATTCTGGACACTTAGTTTGAAAAAGTATGGGTTGTGACATTTTGACATTGAAAATGTGTAGGAACTCAGACTCCTGTGCATTCATAAGTAGATTTAATATTTACAAGCAGATTAATTTGTCGTTTTGGTTACTATGAAAACTGGCAAATCGCAGCAATAGGTGGGGGACAGGTTTAATTTAATCTAAAGATTTTCTCTGGGATTTCATGAAAGGCTAGATCACAGGGTTGCTATGATACATTATTTCCAGGTTTTAAGGGCATTCACATTTTACAGCTTTAGAATACCTCGAGACCAGAATCATAGAGAAGAGTTCAATTTTTCTTTATAAGTTGAAGTCTTGTGCTACAGCTCACCTTATCAGGTCTTTGTATATTTTCTTTGTGGTGCTGATGTAGGGGTCGATGGTGTCTTCATACTGACAGAGCGCTCCGCCAAGACACAGGTGCTTGAAAAGGCGGAACAAAAACTCCTTCCGCTCCATCTTCCCAACAACATAGTAGTGCTCAGAATCCTCTTCTTGTAACATCTGGAAGAGGCAAAAAAAAAAAAAAAAGCCTTGAACTTAACTTTGGATACAAACAGGCAGAGGGAGTAAAAAAAAAAGAGGGGATCACCTGTCGAAGTTCATCGTAGTCAGGGTAGACATCATGAAAGCATTTAACTACATGACCAGAGGGCCTCAGGATGCCACAAGAGTAGATTGGATCAAACAACTCCATGGAGATCTTAGTACAGGGCACAAGCTCTGTGCTGACAGACGCTACTGGCCTCTCTACAACACACATGAGTCTCTTAGCTTTTGTCAAGATGACGTAAATTTCCTGCTGTCATTGATAAAAGGATCTCTAGGGATGACATACCAAGAGGCATGCAGACTCCGGCCTCCATATTACTTAGACTGGCAATCACCTGAGGGTCTTTGAAGAAACACTGAAAAACAGTGGAAAGAAACATCAAATGCTTTCAGTTTAGACTGAAAAAATTAAGTTGTGTGAACAAAAGGGAGAACACCTCATTTTTTAAGATTTGCTGTTTTACAGAAAAAAAATAGGGGAAAACGGAATTTGAGTCTCAAAAAGTATGGGATTTTCATGTGAAAATGGCAATAAAATAAGATAAAAATAAAGAAACGCTATCAAATTTTACAGTAAAATATATTACAGTAGATACAATATCACGTCTCACCAAAGCAAACGTTTCATAGCTGTAAGGATGGAAGTTGCTGTCAAAGCTGTACGTCTGAGCTGAAAGCCTCCCCAGCATGGACCTGAATTAAACCCACAATGAGAAACAACACACCTGGACAAACGGGAGAAAGTTAACAATATTTTTACGTCACCATTTCATCAACAGCGTCAAGGTGTTCTTGTCCTCCTGGAAACAGAAGCTCTTAGGAAGAGGACTGAAAGAGAAAGTTTGCTCAAACGCGCTTTCGCCTCCTGCCATTCTGAGTTTCGCCTAGAAATGTATAAAAACAATATAAACTTTAGAGCTGTTTTAGCTAGCAGGTAGTAGACTTAATAATAAGCTTACTCGGTGCCACTACGTTTATTTATTGGAAGGATAATTCCAATTTGCGCGTTTTCTCGTTTAACTTTTAGGGACTCGAATTTGTATGGAGTAGCTGTTTCCTTGGTAACGGACGGTTGGTGACGTCTTGACGCCAAGTATGAACTACATCTTTATTTTTTCCCCCCCTTCAACTAACACCAATACAATTTATTTTAGGTTAGGGGTAATGTATCTACGATGACGTATTTATCACTTATTGTATGGAATTTCTCTTTTAAACAGTTTTTTCTTTGTTTTCAATTTAACGTACTAACCTTTTTCATTTTCACCACCAGATGGCGATATTTATCTGCTTTAAAAAGGTAAATATTTTTCTCATGCTTCTTACGCTTTTGTTCCATAGTTTTTTCTCTCATGTTATAGCATCAAAACGTGGTGCTTTGAAGACTTCCTAATCAGCTTATAAATCACGTTAGAAAGTACAAATCTGACTACTGATTTTATTTCATTTTTTTCTGCTTACAGAAGATATGTGGGAGAAATACCAAATGATTATGGGAAGTCCTGTAGATCAAGTTATGAATATGAGTTTCAGAAAATGTGAGCTGGTTTAAAAGCATTTTGTGCAGTAGAGTTTACGTAAAAAATATTTATAATTTTCACTTAGTGAGCATTTGAGACACTTCTTGATTTAATAGAGAAAGTTACGCTTGCTAGTACTCATTATTCAAGTGCATAGAAGCACACTTTTTATGCATATTGTCTTCACAATTTTTTAGTAAATAATGTTAAGGTGGAATCTGTTGTCTAGTTTTGTCCAATTCTGGGTAGATTCAAATAGTTTTGTGCAGGTCCTGACTGGAAAAAACACCTGAATTCTTTATTTTACATCATGCACAACATCTAATTTAAAACATCCTCTCGGAAGTTTGTAGAGACCCCTACACATGTTTTATTTACTCCTGCTTAAATACTTATGTCATTCCTATCATTCCAGCTTTCCAAGAGGGAGATCTGGAATTGTTTTGTTGCACATTCCAGTGAAGGACTTCCTGAGCCTCAGTATTCCAGATGAAAGGAGCCAAAATGGTCTGCTGAGCGGAAACCATGAAGTTATCATACTGTAAGTGTGTTTTTGTATTACAATGGATGTTTGTATATGGATGTTATACAGGGAAAGCAATACTGTCAGTGGCATGTCTGGGTTGTATCTGTGAATCTGATTTTCTTTCAGTAGATAACATGAGTCTGAGACATACCAGTAATAGTTACATGGCAGAATTGCGCAGGCTTTAAATTAAATCTGGTTTCTTGGCTTTCAGTCTCAGCATGTGGGCAAAAATTAGTTCGGTTCAACTTTCCCATGTGAACAGAACTATGTAATGAACTGCACAGTGATGTAACTATGATAACACAACTGTACTCTAAAAACACAGCTCTAAAATAGTGATGGTAATTGGAGTGCCACAATGTATTGCTGTAATGACAAAGAAAACATAAGGATTATTAACTGTGACAGCCAAGTGAAGCAACTGGGAATTGAGATTCTGAAGCCAGAATACGACGAGACATAGCATAACACAGGTCAGGTGCATTTATCAAAAAGATATTTTCATTTTCTGCTGATTGCTTCAAGGGAATTGCTCTTTAGACCCATCACAGACTAAATGGAAACCTGGCAGGTAGTATGGCAGGCAAAGATCGGAAATGTTCAGAGAAATATCGGACCGTGATTGCAAACTGTGATCATATCTTTCCATTCTGCAGATTTGCTGACAGGTATGGAGTTCTTTCCGTCTTCGTTGTGGTGTTTTGCGATTTCAAATAGTTGCATGATGGAGGCATCTCATAAATACTAAGGAGTAGACACAAATTTTCATTGACACTGTGGTCATGCAGTTCAAACTTTTTACAAAAGCTGGAGAAACATTTAAAGAAAACATTTAACTGCTTTACAAGTCATTTAAATTTTCTCTTCAGTTATTGTTGAATAATCCGATTAAAACAATAAAAGTAAAACAAGCTTTTTACTCTAATAAATGAACAGACATGGAGTAACATGAACACCATCCAATGTTAGAATTAACAACTTGTTACACATTCCTTCTTAGGTACTTTTTGAATTTTATTTTTGAAATTGTATTTGGGAAACATTAAATCTGATGCATATCCACATGTGCCAATGCAACATGAAACCTCTGTGAGGAAGACACGGTTTTCCACAACAGTGAGATACTAGACTGCTAAAAAGACACAACAACATTCAAGGTCTTTTGGTTTCAGGTGTATCTATATGAAAATATGGTGCCTTCCTAAAGTATTTATACCTTTGTACCCTTGAACCTTTCCACATTTTGGCATGTTGTACCTACAAAGGTCAATGTGTTGTATTGGGGTTTGTGTGTTTGATCATCACAAAGTGGTGCAGAATTGTGAAGAGGTGGGAGAATGATGCACACTTTTCAAAATGTTTTATAAAAATCAGGAATGGATTCAGCTTTGATGTGTCAGTGCTGCAGATATAGAAATAAATATTCTTCTTATCTTTTTTATGTTCATATTCAGTCAGATTGGATATTTAGCTGCAGAGATTCCAAAGACACTTAAAACTCTGCTGTTGCGCCAGTGCAGCCTAGAGTTGTGCCCAGACTTGGAGAACAATGGAAAATTCCTTCTGGAGCATTTTTGATAATGAACAAATCAATATCTGTAACATTTTTTTCCGGTGAGATCATGGTGAGAGGGATCTCTGTTTATGCTGTTCCTTTCTGCCCAGGGTCGGTCAACACAGGCCAAATCCCAGTGGAAGTGTTTCATTGTCAGTGTCTCCACTCCTTTTAACTCATAACAACAATAAACACATCAGCGAGACTCAAACACTGACTCATTCAAGTCAATTCAGTGGACACTCAAGCTTATACAAACACGAACACACCCTAAATTTATATTTCTGTGTCATACATTTACTAACTCTACGTTCAGTTGAAAGGAAAAGTCATATAAATCCACCCATGGCAAGAAATGATAAAAGTTTAATGAAAATATCAAAAGTATAATGCACCATGGAGACCACTAGCAATGTTTGCCTCTCTGCCAACTTCATGTCGCTTAAATTCCGGATGGAAATTTTCTCTCAGAGCATAAGAATTCCTTTTTAGGCAGCATAAATAAAGGAATCGTTATCTGCTACTTGTTTTTTGGTCATTTTTAACAGTGCTAAAGCATACTATTTAGGCTCAGAGCTTCTTCCGAGTGTCACTGCAGCTGTGAATGTCAAATCCTAAGAAAAGAATGAAAAGATAGGAGTGATATTTATACCTTCTTCAGTTTTCAAACAGCTTTTTTTTGAATGTTTTAATATAAAATGTGGACATAATAACACCACTGATTTGTAAGCTACTATTTTAGCAGTCTGATAGTTGCTTTTCAAAAACCTTATGTGAATGTCTGTTACAACACAGCTGAGCACGAAGTGATCTTTGAAACTGAATTTCAATTTTACAATAAAGACAAATTAAAGTAAAGTCTGTTTGAGCAACAACTGTTTTGAAACTCTGGATCCTGGAAATGTTTTTATCTGTTTCACACAATACACAGCCTGAGGTAGTCCAAACAAGAGAAATGAACAACAGAGCAACCTTGCCATGTCCTCCGACTAGAACACTCTTATTTTAAATTTCCCTTTGTTTATTAACTCCCTCTGCAGATGCCTGATAGAGTGTCTGAGATATTTTGGGATTCCCAGAACAGCCTTGCATGGACAAATAAAAAATTGTTCCCTATGTTAAGAGGAAAAAAAGATACAGTAAGAGGAATGTGGAGAAAGCCATAAGCATAAAAACAAGAAATAAGATTTTCAGACGCTACGCCTATGTAATTTAACACAACGAAAATCTAATTAAAAATTAGTAAGTTTAGAAGGGCTGTCATTGGTTATTGGGTTATTGTTGCTCTGATCCTGTCTTCTTTGATTGCTAAAAATCACCCTGAGAAGTGATTTTTAACTTTTTAAAAAAATCACTTCTTGTATCATAAGAACAAGATTATCAACATTATGATACAACAATCATAAAGCATCATAATCAAAAACAGGATAATGGATAATGCAACCTTGCTTCATTGTTTATTACTCTGTTTTGTTATTGTTTAGAGATTGGTTTCTATTTTTACTCATCAGTTTGTTTTAGTGACACCAGATCATGAAAAAAAAAACATGAACAGAAACTGATTCCATACTTACATTCTTCTTTACTTCTTGTTGTCCTATTTCTGGGGAATCTTTGACTTATTTATTCAATTATTTGCCCTATGATTTATTTATTTACTTTTCAAATCTTGTAATTAATTTTGTTAGATTCAGTCTTGAGTTGTATTAGACGCATAATAATACATCTTGAGAAACTTTCCAAATTTAAATAACTGTTTTCTAAGCCCTAATGCCTGTGGCTGAAAATGTTATTAGCCTGAAGACATCGACGTGAGGCCGATTCCAGGTACCGATCAGTTCATAAGAAATCACAGAAATGACTTTACAGCAAAGACGCAAACAGCAGAAAGCATCAAATGAGTTGTATCTGACGATTGCAAGCTCAGCTTTCAAGCTCTGAGTAACCCTACCCTCCATGTTCAGTTACAGAACATACAGGGTTGAACTACTGACATATTATTTAAAAGTCTAAATACCCCCTGAAGCCTTTCTAAAGTAATATTTATTCATGAATCCTTCTTGCAGAATGTCTTTGCTACAACATCCAAGTTCCCAATTTTAAGTTTGAGCAAAAAAAGTTTGCAGTGTGGCTCGTAAAAATAGGAAACTAAAGAGTCAAGTTGGTCCAGCTTTGCATTCACATACTTTTTGCATCAGGTCAGTATGGAATCATAGCTAGGTAGTTTTAACTTTCTACAAAAAGGTGACATGTCTTCAGGGAACAGAAACACAAAAACTGAAAATATTATTTGCATCATTTTGGACAAAAATCTTGTGGCTGAAACTCGATCACCCTAAAACACGTGGGCTGTGTCCTCCAGGCACGGCGCTGAGCCCTTTTCAGGCAGTTTCTGCTTTTGTGACATTTATCTGGTCCGTTTCTGTCCCAGTCCCCATGGTAACCATCCACACATGGTTGCTTGACATGGAACATGATGCTGGATGTGCTGCAAGAATGTAACCTCACGTCTTTGCCAGCTTGTACCAGAGCCTGAAAGGAAGC